ACCTAACTTTGACCGTAACTATGACGATAACCTGTGTTTTTTTGTATGGATTTTGACAGATTTTTGACGTTTGTCAAAGTTAAAGTAAGATGGTGCAACCCAGCCTTAGCAGGCACACAGTCAGCGTCAAATAGGTAGTTCGTGACACCCAAAGTGGCCAAAAAGTTGACAAGTTGAACTTTATTCTGACTGTAACAAAGACATGTTGCTAACTTTGTGGCAACTTTGGGTGTTACTATGTGAAGATACAACAAAATTAAAGGGTTTTGCGTTTTTTTTTTTTCGACAAAAATTTACAAGAATTTGACCTCTATTTGATTTCAATTAATTAATTTTAAGTTACCAATCCAGTCACTAACTTAAAAAATACGACTTAAAAATACTTCACAATAGTACTATACATAACATATATTTACCTTGTATGGTATTTAACTGTGCTTTATCCATGTACATATTTGATTTTATTACTTTTGATGTTATTGCTTTATCCATGTACATATTTGATATACGCAAATACATAGACATTGATATTTGTTTACTAACACGTCTGGTTTGAAGTTCGTTCATCCATTGTAAACATAAGTCATAAATATCATGTACTTTCTTACACGTGTCCAAGAGTACATTATTGTATTTACTAAATTATGTACTGCTATATCGTGTTGACGTAGGGCTAGTTCAAAAACTTATTGCTGTTATATAAAGGAGGAAAAGCACCAAGAAAAGTTTGAGAGAGTTAGGTTTATGTAGATACATAGTACCTATGTGTCTTAACTTTTTTACATTTCCTTCCCACATTCACATTCTTCTATTGGACTTATGGTCCTATGTCCCCTAGATGGGGCAGAGGGCGTCCACAACAGTCCTCCATCGCGTTCGGTCTTGAGCTGATTGATTCTTCTATTGGGCTTAGTTAGAATACAAGTTAGATAATTCTTCAAGAGGTTGTAAGAAGAGTGTAAGAGATCAGAGTCCTATTTCTGAATTAAGGCATATTTACAATGATACTGTCAGGTGCATGTACGGGCTTTTTCGCGGTCTCACAAGCCCTGGGTGCACCACATTAGACCGCTATATGACTATACCTTTTAAACATTGAAATGTTCATTCCACGTTGACATTATGTAATTTATTGTTTGTCATACTTTCATGGGTTCTACCTGTGAGAATACTTTCTTTACATTGTTAATGCTTGTGGTGTATTGCTATTTATAAATGAAAATAGGTACCTATAGGCAAAATTGATTGGAAAAGAGAATTCACACGACTTTCTACATAAAGTGCTTTCAATTACTGGGTGTGGTCGTGCGATTGATTGTTGCGGGTTTTTCATTAGCTGTAGTGAAAGGAAACTGCCTTCGATTTGCTATTATATATGCTGTAGGTACTATATGTATGTTTATGTACTTTACAATTATTTGGAAAAGAAAAGACAACGTACGTACTTCTTTAAACTCGTAGGTATATTGTCACAAGGACCTTGAAATGACACATAGGCCCGGTTTCCACTAAACTAAAGGAACGAAAATATGGAGATGTATTTTTTTAAACTAGTCAGATTTCCGAACCGATGCTGATCCGAGTGAAAATAACGAAAACAGATGCAAAAGATTTCTCGTCTCCTCTTTTTTAGCTTTGATGGAATCCGGGCCTTAATTTCAAACACTCCAAAATGAGATGGAACTCTATATGTGTGTTTTGGTTGGTTAATCTAACTAAATATTAATGTGAAAGTTGTAGCTTCTCTGACAGAGCTCCTGATAGCCTATCAGGGACTTTATCAGCAAGAGTGTGCATGTTGCAGGTTGGTCGCGGGCTTTGCAGCGTCCGTTGTGTTCATAGTCATCGAGCTAACGACCTTCATACTCGGACTAACCATGTTCTCTCCCTCCGTCTCTCTCATCTGTATCCTTTTCTTAACACTACCTGCCTTCTAGACAAAATGACATTCGCGAACGAATCGAATTCGCAATCGGTTTACAAAGCGAAGTTTGAAAAAAGTTTCTTTTTCAAATCAAATGTTCTTTGTTGCTTCGCGCTGGTGCAAAAGTTATTGCATTAATAATTTTATTTAAATAATAGACCTGTATCTAATAATAATATGAATCCTGTTAATAAGAGCAAAAACTATCTCGAATGTCACTTTGTTTAGCAGAGCTGTAGATCCTAAATCCGTGAGGGTTAAGGTTCTATTTCACTGTATAGAATTAATTTCGCTTTTACTTGTTTTTATTCTCATGTAATAGGCCTTTATAATTAATCAACTTTAACTTCTAAATTATAATTATCATAATGTAACAACATCTGAAATAGTTATAAACCTAGGGTGGAAGACGCTGGCAGCTGTGACACAGTGTATACTAGTACAGCTGTCAACGCTAACCTCTTTGTAATAATAATGTTGTTCAAGCTCCATTATGTACTTAGATTATCGGCCGTTTGGTGTAGTGGTTCGAAACGGACTACTATTCCGGAGGTAGCGGGTTCGATTCCCGCACAGTACAAACATTTGTGTGCATGAACATATTTGTTTGTATTGGACTGGGTTTTTTCTAAGTATAATAAGTATGTATTTACAAAAAAAAAAAACTATTTAAGTATGTTTATATCCGTTGTCTAGTACCCATAGTACAAGCTTTGCTTAGTTTGGGACTAGAAGCGCAGTGTAAATGTCCAAGGATATTTATTATTATTATTTATTATTAAGAGATTATTGTAAACAGGAGTATATAATAAAATTATTATTATTCTTATTCTAAAAAAATTTTATAATTTTTTGCCAACACATGTTTTGACTGTCTCAAAAAAGCGCTATCTGCCAGTTAAAATCGCGTGCATGCTTTCGGAACATTGGGTAAAGTGGGTACCTACTTTCTGAGAAAATTTCTTGTGAACCCCTGGGCCCCGACAAAAACATGAAAGTATAGTGTTATTTTTGTCAAACTTTTAAGACTGTATAGTTCTAGAAGCTAAATTACGAAGTCTAAACAAAGGATGATCGTAGGCTTGATTTCCTCCTGGGCTGACGTCGGCAGCGCGTACGAATAGTCGAATATACACTTAGTGCTATGAAGCACCGCATTGCAACGCTGTCGTCAGATGATTACATAGAACTAGTGTATGTTCGCCGACGTCAGACACCGCCTGTGTCATTCAGAGTGCATTTCTATGCATGAATTACTTACTTTGGTTTCTAGTAAAAAAAATCTCAAGATATTTTTATCTATCCATCGATATACAATTAAATATTAAAAAATAAAATAAAAGGTATTTAATTCAGGCAAAGCCCATAAAAGTGTTAGTAACAAAGGTCTTAGAAACTATGTTAGTAAATCATACAATAATTACAATTAAAAACGTCAATTAAATCAGTACAAACGCGATACCGAATAATAAAGAAAGAAATTAAAAAGTAACGCTTTTGCGCCCCATAATGTTGTTGATTTGAATTAACATTCCAAACTCTTATCAAACAATGCACATACACATAAGTACACAGTAAATAACACTATATGACGCATAGCATCAATGAAGCCCGTTCAATGTCCGTAAATGAACTCAAATTGGTCCATTCACGTGACTCTATATTTGGAAGGGCCATCAACCGCTGATGCATTCCTCTTTCAAAGACGATCAATATGACACACTATGAATTAATTAATATGACACCATACATTCATTGGTAGGCTCAATTGCCAGTCAAACATCTTGAAATGTAGTCGCAGGTAAGCTATTGTCAAAGAATGTAGCAAACACAAAGACAAATTAACTGTATTTGGACTCCACTATTCCAAAAGACCCTAGCTGACACTGTTTATTTTTCCGCCTTGCTGACCTGGTGCTGCAGATACTTCTGTTTTTTACAAATTACTAATAATACCGTTAACCCCTCGTTTAAGTTGTGTTACGAGTGGGTTCACCACAATAGTCGAGCGGCGGCGGGGTTCGAACCTGCGTTCCTCGGATCACGAGTCGGCCAGTCCGACCCCCCCACCGTTCTGCTTTCTTTTTAGCTTAGCTTGTACCTAGTTCCTGGCCAGAAGACTGTATGTAAATGCTGCTCTTTACCTTTAGACAAATCTACTTACTACCCACACCCCTAATAACAAAGATTTCCTTGACGCCCCACGCCAGCCATCGCCGCACACGGCTCAGCCGCCATTCTCCTCTCATACTTCGTTCTGGACGGCTGGCTTTGCGACTGGTACTGGCCGATCTTCTCCCTCTGTTCTGTGCTGCCGGCCATAGTGGATATGACCACGGCACTGATGACCATGTGCTCTAACAAGTGGTGATCAGAAGAAGCGTTCTAGGTTAAGTTAGGATAAGGATGTTTTGCAGCAAGTTTTTTGGGATATTTGTAAGTGTGTGTTGTTTTTTGGAATGCTTTTGATTAGCCTAAGTACTAAACTCTTTAAAAAGCAGCCTACAGTACCTAATCCTAATTTCTATTATCGTGCTATATTTGTTTTAATTGGGTATGCTTGTTTTAGTGCATGCTATTTTTATGATCTTTCAGTACACCATGGTGGCACCATCGATCGCGCCACAAACATATTACAGGTATATGGAGGGACATACGTTGCCGGCAATAAATGTAATTTATTTGGTAGCTGAAGACACCAATGAGGGCTATCGTTTTAGCGCTCACCAGTTGGCGCCACTGTAGAGTAAGGTCCTGTCACTTGCTAGTAGCGAAGACAGTGGCGCCAGCTGGTGAGCGCGAAAGTGGTAGGAGGACTATCGCATTTGCACTCATCAAGATGGCGCCACTGTAGAGTAAGGTCCTGTCAATCGCCAGGGGTGCCAACTGTTAGGTAAAAAAACGATAGCCCTCATTATGTGGCGTCACTTCTTGGCGCCATCATGGTGTCCTAATGAGATGGGGCCCTTAAAATGTGTTTAAATTAATCTTCAATCATTACATTTACAACCGTATTCCCACTGAACAGATATGACATTCAAAATAAGATCTTAAGTTTCCCACTGATTGTTTCCAGGTAACCGAGCATCAGCATTTGACGGAGTCCCACGAATACAAGCCAGGATGGTCGTTCTACCTGGTGCTGGCTGGAGTAGCCACCACGCTGGGGTCCTCGCTGCCTGTAGGGTTCAACATTGGAGTCGTTAATACACCAGCTGATGTGAGTATGGACCACCAGGCATGCGTCGCTGCCAGTTCGTTCGTTTCAGCCAAATGACGTCCACTGCTGGACAAAGGCCTTCCCCAAGGTTTTCCACAATGAACGGTCCTGCGCTACCCGCTGACCTTTACCAGATCGTCGGCCCACCTACATAGTAGGAGGCCTGCGCACGCTACGTCTTCCAGCCCGTAGTCGCCACTCGAGAACATTTCTGCCCCAACATCCATCATCTCTACGAGCTATGTGCCCCGCCCACTGCCACTTGATTTTAGCAATTCTGCGAACTATGTCGGTCACTTTGGTTCTCCTGTTTTATTTTTTATATTCGTTTTAGTCCTTTTCAAGGCACTTATAAACGTACAGCTATACTCGTACTATACAGTCAGTAGGACCTTTTTAGCATTGCCATATTATATGTATAAGTTTCTTGCTACCTTGCTGTTATAACAACTGCATGCACGAGAGTAGTGTTTAGTGACTGGAGTATACGCGTGCACAGACAGAACAAATAACTAAAGTGCCTAATCACTTTTTTAAATTTAAACAGGCTTTATTTTATTTATCTCGGTTGTTTTTAGGTAGTCTTTTTATGGATTCTACCGAGAGTTATAAAAGTATCTCGTGGAATTATTCAACACAATTTTTCTTTGCATAATTAGTCAACCACTAAATGACTAATTGAAAAGTAGGCTACGCACTAACAATAAAATGCTGTGTTTAATCAATTTCTTATTGTTAAATTGTTATTGTTCATTTATTACGAACGTGGCTAATTATAGACCAATCAAAGGTTCAAATGCGTTGCGAAAAGATCAGTCATCAATTAATATTGATGATTTGAAATTGATATCTAATAACATTTTTAGTTACTGACTAGCTTACCCACGCGTGTAGTTTCAGTATGTCGCAACAAAGACATTCTCTATAAAGGCAAATTAACCATTCTCCTATAAAATTGACAATAATGGTCTCAAACGCGACATTTACTATGTAGAAAACATAACCCTTTTTCAACGCAGTCTGGTAAAAATGTTTACTATGAATAAATGTCGCGTTTGAGACCAGTTATCCTTAATTTTATTCGGACAACTAGCGGCCGCCCGCGACTTCGTACGCGTGGATCCCGTTTGACTCCCTTAGGAGTGGAGTTTCGTAAAACCTTTCTTAGCGGATGCCTACGTCATAACATCTACCTGCATGCCAAATTTCAGCCCGATCCGTCCAGTGGTTTGGGCTGTGCGTTGATAGATAAATATGTCAGTCAGTCAGTCAACCCTATGAATTAAGATAGATGTAGTTCCACAGTGAATTTTTTCAACCACAACTTCTGACAGTCATAACTCTAGCATTCAAAACCCTATTGCTCTGGTTACAGCTGCTAAAATCGTTCTGCAACGAGAGCATAACCGCCCACTATGGTGTAACCCTGGACGAGGGCTGGCTTAACGTGCTGTGGGCGGCTGTCGTCTCCATCTTCATCGTGGGCGGATGCACAGGCTCTATACTGGGCGCTGTGCTCGCTGACCGCTTTGGAAGGTAACTTTGTAACCCGTTTTTTCATTATTAAAAGCGTTTAATACTTTTTCAGCTATTTGTCTCCCGCTTTTCAACAGAACGAAGTTGATGTTATATTTAGAATCTATAAAATCTCTCTATATTCTTCTAATTAACTTCTTTGCGGGTTCCAAGAAAGTAAGTTATCCCTGGAAATACATGGAATGCCTGGAATGGAGGCCGCGTACCGGAAGGCGCAGCGTGGGACGTCCACCTACAAGGTGGACCGACGACATCGTAAAGGTAGCAGGGAAGCGCTGGACGCAGGCCGCTACCAATCGATCAACGTGGAAAGCATTAGGGGAGGCCTATGTTCAGCAGTGGACGTCCTATGGCTGACATGATGATGATGATGATGAAGCTATCCCTCGGGATTACTCAACCGTTACTGGTTGTGTCTCATTGGAGGCCAAACTGTCAACAACTGTTACAGCTTGTAATACGATTCTATTGTAGTTTTATTATTCTTTATCAAATACATACATACAATAATCGTGTGATTTATCTTCGTATCACTAGTTAATTTATGTTATGTATATGGCAGTCTGTAATTTGCATAACGATTACGAAAGTCTATATTAAACAAACTTGCAAACTTTTCCTATTAATTGGCGGAAACAGTTAACAAAACCATTCAAATGTATTTTTTGTATGAAACGTTACCCATTTGTGGCATTGGTGATTCTAATCGATTAAAATTCGTAACACCTTCGAACAATTCGCTCCATAGAGATTGCTGTTTGTTTCATGTGTGTGTGTTTACCCATATATGTGGTAAATACCTAAAATCTTACATGTAACAAATGTTTGTTAGTTGACGCAAGTCGCTTAGGAAAAAATAAAATTTAATTTACATTTGTTTCCTCCCAGCTGTTTCCTGTCTCGTTTGAACATACCCCTCGGCCACTCTATTTCACTTCAGAAATTAGACCATGGCCCTCCGTTTGCTCTATAAAACATTTAGTAAACATGTGAATATTAACTGGTTCCCACCTTGATCGTTAAATGCTCATGACCCCCAATATGTTGAAGACGGCACNAAACGAACAAAATATTGCGCTATTTTTTTTATTGCGCTGATTCTGCTGCACACTGATGTCTGGATCCTTTAATGGATGGTATTGTTTGTTTACACATACAATGTCATTATTTTGTTGCAATTTCTTACAAAACTTGCGCGCAAACATCAAATCTAGAAAATGATCAAACTTCTGATGCTCGTAACTCATTTCAGACTGAGTTTAGAGGTATACATGTCATAGTAAGTTTGGTTTATTACACTATTTTGTAATCAAAAACCAAGGTTTGGTTGATGGCCGCGCGAAAAAAAAAAGACGCCAATTTCCGGCATTGTCTTTTATTATTACATCGCATTATCATCGTCAGAATTATCAATTTTAATTATTGACTTACTCTTACTAATTAGAAATCAGAAAGTTTGTATGGATGTCTTGATGTTTGTTGCTCTTTCAATTAAATCAGTTAAATCATTTTAATCTTCTGAGTTTTATTTTTATTTTCCACTCTCCCATATACGGATTGTATATGGACATTCTATCCTATTTTAGTTCCATTAATATTACTACTGTTAGGTGTTAATTAATATAAATCGATATCGATATTCATGTGAAAAATAACGACATACATCACTAGCATGCACACATATTTATATTTACACACACAAATGACATCTCATTTTTGGTTTCGTTTGACAGCTCGTGATTGTTGCTCTATTCCGAAGGAATATTAACTTTATGGTTCATCCATTGTAAACATAACTCATAAATATCATGTACTTTCTTACACGTGTCCAAGAGTACATTATTGTATTTACTAAATTATGTACTGCTATACCGTGTTGACGTAGGGCTAGCTCAAATACTTATTGCTGTTCTATAAATAAGGAAAAGCACCCATCTAATTTTCATTGAAGTTTTAGGAAAGTTTGAGAGAGTTAGGTTTACGTAGATCCATAGTACGAGTATATGTCTAAATTTTGGATTATTGGACTTAGTTAGAATACAAGTAAGATAATTCTTTAAGAGGTTGTAAGAAGAGTGTAAGAGATCAGAGTCCTATTTCTGAATTAAGGCATATTTACAATGATACTGTCGGTGTACGGTGCATGTACGGGCTTTTTCGCGGTCTCACAAGCCCTGGGCGCACCACATTAGACCGCTATATGACTGTAAACATTGAAATGTTCATTCCACGTTGACATTATGTAATTTATTGTTTGTCATACTTTCATGGGTTCTGCCTGTGAGAATACTTTCTTTACATTGTATTGTATTGCTATTTATAAAATAGGTATAGGTAAAATTGATTGGAAAAAAGAATTCACATGACTTTCTACATAAAATACTTTTACAATTACTGGGTGTGGTCGTGCGATTGATTGTTGCGGGTTTTTCATTAGCTAGTGAAAGGAAACCGCCTTTGCTTCGCTATACGAGAGATTTACTGTACTATAACTATGTATGTTTATGTACTTTACAATTAGTTGGAAAAGGAAAGATAATGTACTTAAGTAGATATTTCTTTAAACTCGAATATTGTCACAAGGGTCCTGAAATGGCACGGCCCGGTTTCCACTAAGCGTAGATGAGAGGAGACGTGTTTTGAAAACTAATTACATTTCCGTACCGAAGCTGAGCTGAATGAAAATAACGAAATCAGATCCAAAAGATTTCTCGTCTCCTCTTCTTTAGCTTTGATGGAAACCGGGCCTTAATTTCAAACACTGAAAAATAGATATCTGTGGTTGGTCTAAATATTGATGTGAAAGTTGTAGCTTCTCTGACAGAGCTCCTGATAGCCTATCAGGGACTTTATCAGCAAGAATGTGCATGTTGCAGGTTGGTTGCGGGCTTTGCGGCGTCCGTTGTGTTCATAGTCATCGAGCTAACGACCTTCATACTTGGACTAACCATGTTCTCTCCCTCCGTCTCTCTCATCTGTATCCTTTTCTTAACGCTACCTGCCTTCTAGACAAAGTGACATTCGTGAACGAATCGAATGCGCTTCTTTCGAAAGTTTATTTCTTAAATCAAATGTTCTTCGTTGCATCGCGCAGGTACAAAAGTTCTTACATACCTACTAACATGAACCCTGCTGGTGAGAGCAAAATCTGTCACAAATGTCACTTTGGTTAGCGGAGTTGTAGACCCTAAATCCGTGAGGGTTAAGGTTCTATTTCACTGTATAGAATTAATTTTATAATTTTTTGCCAACACATGTTTTGACTGTCTCAAAAAAGCGCTATCTGCTACTTAAAATCACGTGCATGCTTTCGGCCCCGACAAAAACATGAAAGTATAAGTGTTATTTTAGTCAAACTTTTAAGACTGTATAGTTCTAGAAGCTAAAGTACGAAGTCTAAACAAAGGATGATCGTAGGCTTGATTTCCTCCTGGGCTGACGTCGGCAGCGCGTACGAATAGTCGAATATACACTTAGTTCTATGAAGCACCGCACTGCAACGCTGTCGTCAGATGATTACATAGAACTAGTGTATGTTTGCCGACGTCGGTCACCGACGTCAGCAAGCCTGTGTCATTCAGAGTGCATTTCTATGCATGAATTACTTACTTAGTTTTGTTTCATGTAAAAAATCTTAAGATGATTTTTATCTATCTATCGATATACAATTAAATAATTTTAAAGCGATACCGAAGATAAAGAAAGAAATTAAAAAGTACGCTTTTGCGCTCATAATGTTGTTGATTTGAATTAACATTCCAAACTCTTATCAAACAATGCACATACACATAAGTACACAGTAAATAACACTATATGACGCATAGCATCAATGAAGCCCGTTCAATGTCCGTAAATGAACTCAAATTGGTCCATTCACGTGACTCTATATTTGGAAAGGCCATCAACCGCTGATGCATTCCTCTTTCAAAGACGATCAATATGACACACTATGAATATTTAATTAATATGACACCATACATTCATTGGTAGGCTCAATTGCCAGTCAAACATCTGATTAGGTAGAAATGTAGTCGCAGAAAAAGCTATTGTCAAAGAATGTAGCAAAAAAAAAAACAAAATGCTTAACTGTATTCGGACTCCACTATTCCAATAGACCGTTTAAAAAAGCTGACACCTTATCTTTTTCCGCCTAGCTGACCTTGTGCTGCAGATACTACTTGTTTTTTTTTACAAATCACTAATAATACCTTAACCCCTCGTTTAAGTTGTGTTACGAGTGGGTTCACCACAATAGTCGAGCGGCGGCGGGGTTCGAACCTGCGTTCCTCGGATCACGAGTCGGCCAGTCCGACCCCCCCACCGTTCTGCTTTCTTTTTAGCTTAGCTTGTACCTAGTTCCTGGCCAGAAGACTGTATGTAAATGCTGCTCTTTACCTTTAGACAAATCTACTTACTACCCACACTCCTAACAACAAAGATTTCCTTGACGCCCCACGACAGCCATCGCCGCACACGGCTCAGCCGCCATTCTCCTCTCTTACTTCGTTCTGGACGGCTGGCTTTGCGACTGGTACTGGCCGATCTTCTCCCTCTGTTCTGTGCTGCCGGCCATAGTGGATATGACCACGGCACTGATGACCATGTGCTCTAACAAGTGGTGATCAGAAGAAGCGCTCTAGGTTAAGTTAGGATAAGGATGATTTGCAGCAAGTTTTTTGGGATATTTGTAAGTGTGTGTTGTTTTTTGGAATGCTTTTGATTAGGCTTTTAAGTTTTAAACTCTTTAAAAACCAGCCTATAGTACCTACTCCTATCATCCATATGTGAAATTAACGAGCTATTAGCGTGCTATATTTGTTTTGATTAAGTATGCTTGTTTTGGTGCATGACATTTTTAAGATGTTTTCTCAGGGCCCTATTTTATAAGGACACCATAGTGGCACCATCGGTCGCGCCATCAACATATTGTACAGGTCTTATAACAAGACCTGGTTATCCATATAACATGGAGGGTACCTCAATATTTATTATATTAGCTTGGTTGCGCAACCAATTAATTACGGGTAACCAAAATGTATGTAGCTATTATTAATTTGGTAGCTGAAGACACCACTGTGGCGTCACCTCTTGGCGCCATAATGGTGTCCTAATGAGATAGGGCCCTTAAAATGTGTTTAAATTAATCTTTAATCATTACATTTACAACCGTATTCCCATTGAACAGATATGACATTCAAAGTACGATCTTGAGTTTCCCACTGATTGTTTCCAGGTAACCGAGCATCAGCATTTGACGGAGTCCCACGAATACAAGCCAGGATGGTCGTTCTACCTGGTGCTGGCTGGAGTAGCCACCACGCTGGGGTCCTCGCTGCCTGTAGGGTTCAACATTGGAGTCGTTAACACCCCTGCTGATGTGAGTATGGAACCACCAGGCATGCGTCACTGCCAGTTCGTTCGTTTCAGCCAAATGACGTCCACTGCTGGACAAAGGCCTTCCCCAAGGTTTTCCACAATGAACGGTCCTGCGCTACCCGCTGACCTTTACCAGATCGTCGGCCCACCTAGTAGGAGGCCTGCGCACGCTACGTCTTCCAGCCCGTAGTCGCCACTCGAGAACATTTCTGCCCCAACATCCATCATCTCTACGACCTATGTGCCCCGCCTACTGCTAAAATCATTAGCAATTCTGCGAGCTATGTCGTACACTTTGGTTCTCCTGTTTTATTTTTTATATTCGTTTTAGTCCTTTTCAAGGCACTTATAAACGTACAGCTATACTCGTACTATACAGTCAGTAGGACCTTTTTAGCATTGCCATATTATATGTATAATTTTCTTGCAACCTTGCTGTTATAACAACTGCATGCACGAGAGTAGTGTTTAGTGACTGGAGTATACGCGTGCACAGACAGAACAAATAACTAAAGTGCCTAATCACTTTTTAAATTTAAACAGGCTTTATTTTGTTTATCTCGGTTTTTTTAGGTAGTCTTTTTATAGACTAGACGAGACGAGAGTTATAAAAGTATCTCGTGGAATTATTCAACACATTGTTTCTCTGCATCATTAGTCAACCACTAAATGACTAATTGAAAAGTAGGCTACGCACTAACAATAAAATGCTACATGCCTTCTTATTGTTATTGTTAATTTATTACGAAGCGTGGCTAATTATAAACCAATCAAAGGTTCAAATGCGTTGCGAAAAGACCAGTCATCAATTAAATTAATTGATGACTGAATATTTTATTAAACAATGAATAGGTACACAGAATATTGATGATTTGAAATTGATATCTAATAACATTACTGACTAGCTTACCCACGCGTGTAGTTTCAGTATGTCGCAACAAAGACATTCTCTAATAAGGGCAAATTAACCATTCTTATTCACTCATAAAATTGTCAATAGCTAAAACGCGACATTTACTTTGTAGAAAACATAACTCTTCTTCTGGAGCAGTCGGGTAAAAATGTTTACTATGAATAAATGTCACGGTTGAGTCCAGTTATTCTCAATTTTAATCGGACAATATAGTTTAGCAGTGAATTTTTTTAACCACAGCTTCTGACAGTCACAACTCTAAGATTTTAAACTTTCGCGTTCCATTTCAACTAAAATACGGCTACTAAAATTTCAAATAAACCACGGCTGCAGCATAGCAGCCGAAACGTCAAGCCGTGAGTACATAATGTACTTAAACCTTTACCTGGTAGTGGCAGAATTGTTGCCAAAATATTTTTCATTGGTTTTGTACCTTATGTTTTCTCGATAAGGTTCAAAACCAATGAAAAATATTTTTCTCTATACCAGTTAAAGGGTTAACTCATTAATAAACGTCGCGTTAAGACCCTTGTCTTTCTATTTTAGTCACAATTCTAGCATTCACAACCCTATTCCTTTGGCCACAGCTGCTAAAATCGTTCTGCAACGAGAGCATATCCGCCCACTACGGCATAGAACTCGACGATGGCTGGCTTAACGTGCTGTGGGCGGCAGTCGTCTCCATCTTCATCGTGGGCGGATGCACTGGTTCTATACTGGGCGCTGTGCTCGCTGACCGCTTTGGAAGGTACTTTTGTAAGCAGTTTTTGTTAGATAACTTGCCAAAAACACCCCCTATATTCTTCAGATTAGGTGGTATGTTAATCTGATTAATATCTTCTGTAACTTACTAAAACTCCCTATTTATTCTGATTCTATCTAAATAATACAGGGTGTTTGGCGGAAGGTTAGACGAACTTCGTGGGTGTATAGGTAAGGTCATTTTAAGAATACAAGTTCGCCTATTTGACCCTAAGTGAGCTACTTTTTTTTAATTGATATGACATTATTATTCCACCCACTAAGTTTGTCTAACCTTCCGCCGAACACCCAGTATACTTCTGATTAATTTTTTTGCGGATTTCAAGATAGTCAGCTATCCCCCGGGACTACACAACCTTCAAATGTATTTTTTTGTATGAAACGTTACCTATTTGTGGCGTTGCTGATTCTAATCGATTAAAATTCGTAACACCTTCGAACAATTCGCTCCATAGAGATTGCTGTTTAGTTTCGTTTCATGTGTGTGTGTTTTCTCATATGTGTGATGAATAACTAAAACCTTACATGTTACAAATGTTCTAAGTTGACGCAAGTCGCTGAGAAAAAAATAAAATTTAATTTACATTTGTTTCGTCCCAGCTGTTTTGTAATTTCCAGTCTCGTTTGAACATACCCCTCGGCCACTCTATTTTTCTTCAGAAATTAGCCCATGGCCCCCCGTCTGCTCTATAAAACATTAACATGTGAATATTAACTGGTTCCCACCTTGATCGTTAAATGCCCATGGCCCCCAGTATGTTGAAGACGGGATTTTTGTTGTATTCTTTGTTGTCGCCATAATTGATTGATACTTACTGTCCATGGTGCATCTTTTCTTAAAGATTACTTAATCTTTGTTTTGTCTCCTATCATCCGCTTTGCACTGGAGGGAAGTCTAACCTTTTGAATGTATTGTTTATTGTATTGTTTGCAGGAAGAAGGCGACGATAGCTATAAGTGGGCTATGGGTGGCAGGGGCCCTGATGTTCGGCTTCTGCCGCGCCGCCAACTCCGTCGAGATGCTGATACTGGGCCGGCTGCTCGTCGGCTTATCTGGAGGTACGAGCTGTAGTATACTCATTTATCTAAGCGTTTAAAGTTTTTGAAAGAAAGAAAACAGGGTTAAATGTCTGATATGATGTTTTGGGTCAATCAACCTTACGGGCCTTAGACGTTCAAGACTTCTCTTGGACGTATAAGTA